TTTTGTCTACTTTGACTGGCACGAAGCAGCCAAACTGTCGGGTGGCCTGTCCGACCTTCAGCACACCAAATACCTCGACGCCCTTGTCGACCCTATTTTCGCTACAAAAAAAACTGGTATGTGCTGCTTTGGACAGAATGTCACTGAAATTTTCCGGGCGATAATCGCTGGCCGCCGCCAGCCTTTCGTATAATTGTAGAAAGGTGATATCTCCATGCCTAATATCAATGCATACCAATCCAAAACGACGGCATGCGTCCTCTTCATGACTTTAATTGTCGTGTAATTTGACAGTAATCCTAGAGATGAATTTGACGGCAAAGCCATGTTTTCACGTGGCGATAATACGCATGCGCAGAAAGCTCATTTTCCGGCGAAATTCAAGAAGGGCGTTTGCGACAACCGACTTCGTTGGGGGTGATTTTTTTTTCTTTTTTTTTTTTATTGAGAACGGACGAAAATCGGTGCGCGCGCAGGATGTCATCCATAAAAATAAAAAATGTGGCCTTATATACAATTTTAATACTGAAGGGTCCTAAATATACTCTAGACGCAGTTTCTTGCACTGCATAGTCCTTAATTGCTTACATATTAGATTTAAAATGTTTTATGTTAATTCTCCATTCTATACAGCAGGGTCACACGTATTTTTTNATATTGGACTGACTACACGCTTTTGTGAGCGTACCTGTGACCGTGGGTTGAACGTGACTAGCCGTTCGTGTATCTGCTTGGAAATCATGAAAAAATCAACCATTCACAACCGTGCCCTAAAGTAAATGACACAGGTACGCTATGGACGCCGGGTTCCTAGTATGGGTGCACTGTGTCCCTGAAATACACACGGTAGGACAATTTCAGTTCACCGCTTTAGCAAATTAGTTCAAGATTTATGACTTTACTGATTGGCAGAACATTCTATCAAGCTCAAACAGCACATACCTGTACCTGTATGTACCTGTACAAGCAGATGTGCTTTAAAAATACAGACAAAAGGTGGTTGCAAATCCCTTCATGTAGTTCAGTGGTAGATGTGAAACTTATCTGATGACGTTCTCTTCTTTCTCTGACAAGAGTGGCACGTACTATACCTCACATAAAAATCGGCATTAAATCAGTACAGCGTGTATGTCTAGGGTGGTATACAGTCTTGGTATGTGTAACTTTTATGGCCATTGTGTAAATTAACTGTCTCCCTTTGAGGATAGAACCCAGCAGCCGTACGGGACTCTAAAAACTGTTAGGCCACACTTTTTTAGTTTTATGGATGACATCTTCTGGGGACCTCGAAGTCGGTGCGAGAGGGCGAAAAAAAGAAAAGCAGTCCAAAAAAAACTGCTTAAGTAAAGGAATGTTGTCAGTACACAGCTGGAAACACAAATTTACCACAGAAACAAGTATCAAACTAACAATATGTCTTTATCCATGCTCTGAAAATATTAAAGCATTGTGAATACTTTGTAGAAAGGTAAAAAAAGTCATGAATAGATATGCTGCATATTACCAAATCTATTTAGGGTTATTTTATGCATTTTGTTGGTATACCAATCAATAAAACAAACATTAAACAAACAGTGTGTCTTTATTTGTGCTCTCAGAATATTAAAGCATTATGAAAACTTCACAGAAATGTAAAAAAAAATAATAAATCATGCAAAGATATGCTTAATACTACTAAATCTATTAAAGGTCATTTCGGTCGATGCCGTTTTGTCTACTTTGACTGGCACGAAGCAGCCAAACTGTCGGGTGGCCTGTCCGACCTTCAGCACACCAAATACCTCGACGCCCTTGTCGACCCTATTTTCGCTACAAAAAAAAACTGGTATGTGCTGCTTTGGACAGAATGTCACTGAAATTTTCCGGGCGATAATCGCTGGCCGCCGCCAGCCTTTCGTATAATTGTAGAAAGGTGATATCTCCATGCCTAATATCAATGCATACCAATCCAAAACGACGGCATGCGTCCTCTTCATGACTTTAATTGTCGTGTAATTTGACAGTAATCCTAGAGATGAATTTGACGGCAAAGCCATGTTTTCACGTGGCGATAATACGCATGCGCAGAAAGCTCATTTTCCGGCGAAATTCAAGAAGGGCGTTGGCGACAATCGACTTCGTTGGGGGTGATTTTTTTTTCTTTTTTTTTTTTATTGAGAACGGACGAAAATCGGTGCGCGCGCAGGATGTCATCCATAAAAATAAAAAATGTGGCCTTATATACAATTTTAATACTGAAGGGTCCTAAATATACTCTAGACGCAGTTTCTTGCACTGCATAGTCCTTAATTGCTTACATATTAGATTTAAAATGTTTTATGTTAATTCTCCATTCTATACAGCAGGGTCACACGTATTTTTTATTTAGATTCAAGTACATTTGATTAAAACAGTGTCTTCGGCCATTACCTAATATACAGTACTTTAAGTACAATGGTAAGACTATATCAACAATTTGAACATATGGAAAGAACACGAAGAAGCCGCCCAGTGTGGACAGGATTAAGGGCCACACCAAACAACTGACGTGGTTTTTGAAATCTGAAGTAGCGACGGTTATATTTCACCTTTGGGGCATGTTTATTCTCCCACAAATTGACAGTAAAAGCATCGCAACCGCGCTTTTTATAGGTTTTATCTGGTAATTCACACTGAACTGCCATTTACTTAAATATGACAGACGATTTCCGCAGGTATTTGGAACATGTTTTGGTTATTTAGGGTGAGCGTTTTATCAGGATTATTCACGGAGGTGACTGTATCGTACGTCCCGCCTCCCAAGATACAACGAAATGTTTGCTGGACTCATTATTACTTTGAGAAAAGAACCATTCTGAATTCTAGGATACGTTTAATGTCAAGCCCACCTTACCTAACCCTTTGGAGGTGCCCCCCAACAGTACGTATATCAGACAAGCGAAACTAGACGATACCGCGTATTTGTTATAATCCTGTGTCTTACATATTACTGTGAATACAATATAGTGATAATACAATAATATTATCTTCGCCATTATACATACTGAATATCATCGGCAAAAAGTAACTCGTAGGTTTTGGAATATTACATGAAGACGCTGGACAGATTAGAATTTATTTATTTACAATTATAATTGGATTATTAATATTTAAGTGGAAGTTGCTGATGACTTGCTGATGATTAAGTGCTCGTATTAAGCACCTATTAAATTATTACTGAAAATGTTGGCAACCCTTCTGTTAACCATACCGTAGTCCGCTCCCTATTACATTGTATATGTGACACTGGTCTCATCTACTAATCCCAATACTCAGCCTAACTTGTACTTATCATATGGGACCCCTGACTTCATTCCTAAGACTACCATTCCTGTCACACCGGTACTCAACGCTGGGCTACGTAACGTCCCATTATTGTTTGATCCATTTTTCACCTAAAGAAAGAGTCTTCGTGTACATCACGATCACATGTAGACTAGGACACAATGCGGTAGAGGTGATACTGCAAATTTTGTGAGACATATTGCGGTTGTTGAGATTTCATTGCGGTTGTTGAAACATACCGAGTTCTTTTACTGCTCCGATTGCAAACCAGAATGTTCAATATATAACACATACATGCACTCAGCATAGTATTCGTTAAAATGTGTGTCTACCTCAATACCACCACCGGTAAGCGAATGTATTAATGATTAAATCCTAAATCCTAATTCCTACATTTACCTCAAGTATCAGATTGTGATTACTTAATCCACAATACAACATTTAGATGAAGGCCCACTGCGGATCACTGTATTATAACTATCTGCAAGGCACTGTAATATATTTTATACACCCCTGTTACTAGGTCAGTTGTATCAGTGTACGCAATTGAACTCGATCAGATAAAAGCGATAAAATATGTCACCGTGTCTGTATTGTACGTAGAGATAGCACTATTCTGCTGATATAAGGTGACTTTGAAGTGTCCTTGAACATTGAACGTCTCACCTGATCAGGCGTACGTGTCCTGAGAAACAGCACATCTAAATGGCGCCTGGAGGCGTGTACCTGCCACCAAGGAAAATATAACTGGAGAGAGTGCAGGTAAATTTCAGTCCAATTATATTGTCATTTATTATATAGGGAATATAATGTGTCTAATAATGAACTGGGTAGGTGATTGATGCAGTTTGTGTCTCTGTAGGGTGGTAAAACATTACCGTTTGTTCCCGAGTTTCTATTATAGTACTTACTCGTCATATACCTACTCTGTAATGTTTCAACTATAACTGCTTCCTAAAATTTATACCCCATTTCACATTTTCGTTTATTCCATAATTCACTATACATATTGAAGTCATGTTTAATTACATATCTAATTGTAAAGTGATATTTTCTTTTTTTCTTTTTTTTGTTTGTTTATTTTTTATTAGTTCGCTTTGTGTTTTCATTCCTACTGCACTCATTTCCATCTTGGTGATAAAAACTATTTTCACGTTAACCCAATAGAGAGGCGTCCTTATTAAATAATGAAGACGTTTCATAACTTTTCGTCATATCAGGACAGGTCTTATTGCATTTAGACATTAACACCCATACCTTACACTTCATGTATTTAAATAGAGTATACTGATATGTCTTACCTCTTTTACCAATTCTTTATCATTAATACAATGACTTTCATTGTCTGTTTTAAGATATTGGTCTGAGAAGCCATGTCTTTGTCCAAGATCCTAACGGAAGATTTCCTAACGTGCTGCATATGTTTTGAAAAGTTCAAAGACCCCAAGGTCCTCGGCTGTTCTCATACGTTTTGCCAACATTGTCTCCAACAACTTTTGGACAAAAATGTCCAAGGTCGACTTGGTTTCCCTTGTCCTATCTGTAGACGTCAGTGTGACCTCCCTAGGGGCGGTGTAAGCGGCTTACAAACAAACCATCTTCTGGTCAGCATCTCACACACACTTGGTCAAGTAGAACAAGCCAAAGCTGCCAAGAAATGCGAGGTATGTTGCTTGAAAAATGCACGCAATCCTCCGATGGCGACAAAACGCTGTTTGGACTGCGAGGAAAGTATGTGTGGAGATTGTTCTTCGGACCATGTGCTTCATAAGTTAAACCGTGACCACAAATTGTTCCCTGTCGACCAGTTTGACAGCGACGAATACGTGACAGAGCTGCGTGCCCGACAAAACATCCTTTGTGACCATAACAAGAAAGACCCCGTAGAAATCTTCTGTCCAATCTGTAAAAAGTTCATCTGCGTCGGTTGTATGGTTTTAGAACACAAGGAGCATGATTGCCTAAGAATCAACATTGCTGCTGACAAACGCAAGCAAAAACTAGAACTCGACATAAACCCCATCGAGAAGAAAAGTCTACTCTTCGATCAGTTTAAAACCGCTGCTGAAGACCAGAAAGCGTCAGTAGAAGAGGGAAGAAAGAAGGCAAAGAATCAAGTTAACCAGCAGTTAGAGCTAATGATTACGAAGCTCCGTCAATTTGCTGATGATCTTCTGGCAGAGATAGATGCCAAGTCAAACGCCAAGCTGGAAGTTTTAGATGGTTTAATTGCGACTGCTACCGCCGATCAAAACCAACTGGACGACGTTGTAGACTTCTCCAGAAAGCTCATAAATCATGGGAACGATATGGATGTCCTTCAAATGGCCTCCGCCTGTGAGCAAAGCAGCGAAAGCGTTCATACTCTCGACATCCCGACCCTGCCCGCAGCCATGACCCAGCTACAGCTTATCACCAACGACATGGAGGAGTGCGGTACCAATATCAACCGTTGCCTTGGAGACGTGGTTCCAGCTGTAAGTGGAAGACTTGTGACATCATTCAAAGTAGAATTGGCCAAGTCTCCAGAGGAGATGATCACTCATGTAACCAATGATACAAATGGTGATATCCTTACTGGTATTTGGTGTAATGATGACATGTCACGGAATAGAATCCACATCTACGATACCAACTTTGTCCTACAGGGCACAATTCCAAACCCAAAAGTAGCAGAAAATGGCTACTTTGCAGGGATTGCCATTGATGATGACGGCAATATCGTCACTAGATGTCAGGAGTCAAATGAAATCATCGTCTACACCAAGACAGCGGACCACGTGAGAACATTCCATAGTGAGTCACCTCAGGCAGTAGCAGTCAACAGCAAGNTTTGCACGTGGCGATAATTCGCATGCGCAGAAAGCTCATTTTCCGGCGAAATTCAAGAAGGGCGTTTGCGACAACCGACTTCGTTGGGGGTGATTTTTTTTTTTTTTTTTTTTTTTTTTCTTTTTTTTTTTTTGAGAACGGACGAAAATCGGTGCGCGCGCAGGATGTCATCCATAAAAATAAAAAAGTGTGGCCTTATATACAATTTTAATACTGAAGGGTCCTAAATATACTCTAGACGCAGTTTCTTGCACTGCATAGTCCTTAATTGGTTACATATTAGATTTAAAATGTTTTATGTTAATTCTCCATTCTATACAGCAGGGTCACACGTATTTTTTTTTTTTTTAGATTCAAGTACATTTGATTAAAACAGTGTCTTCGGCCATTACCTAATATACAGAACGCTATGTACAATGGTAAGACTATATCAACAATTTGAACATATGGAAAGAACACGAAGAAGCCGCCGAGTGTGGACAGGATTAAGGGCCACACCAAACAACTGACGTGGTTTTTGAAATCTGAAGTAGCGACGGTTATATTTCACCTTTGGGGCATGTTTATTCTCTCACAAATTGACAGTAAAAGCATCGCAACCGCGCTTTTTATAGGTTTTATCTGGTAATTCACACTGAACTGCCATTTACTTAAATATGACAGACGATTTCCGCAGGTATTTGGAACATGTTTTGGTTATTTGGGGTGAGCGTTCTATCAGGATTATTCACGGTGGTGACTGTATCGTACGTCCCGCCTCCCAATATACAACGAAATGGTCGCTGGACTCATTATTACTTTGAGAAAAGAACCATTCTGAATTCTAGGATACGTTTAATGTCAAGCCCACCTTACCCCTTGGACGTGCCCCCAACACCAGTACGTATATCAAACAGGCGACACCAGACGATACCACGTATTTGTTATAATCCTGTGTCTTACATATTACTGTGAATACAATATAGTGATAATACAATAATGTTATCTTCGCCATTATACATACTGAATATCATCGGCAAAAAGTAACTCGTAGGTTTTGTAATATTACATGAAGACGCTGGACAGATTAGAATTTATTTATTTACAATTATAATTGGATTATTAATATTTAAATGGAAGTTACTGATTACTTGCCGATAATTAAGTGCTCGTATTTTAAAGTACCTATTAAATTATTACTGGAAATGTTGGCAACCCTTCTGTTAACCACACCTGGCACTAAGCGTTCCAGGACTGATGTCGTAAATATTTTGATGTCGTTGTCCCGGTGTGACAGGAATGGTAGACCGCTAGAAGCCGTAGTCCGCTCCCTATTACATTGTATATGTGACACTGGTCTCATCTACTAATCCCAATACTCTGACTAAGCCTAACTTCTACTTATCATATGGGGCCCCTGACTTCATTCCTAAGACTACCATTCCTGTCGCACGTAACGTCCCATTATTGTTTGATCCATTTTTCACTTAAAGAAAGAGTCTCAATGCAGACACAATGCGGTAGAGGTGATACTGCAAGATTTGTGAGACAGATTGCGGTTGTTGAGATTTGATTGCAGTTGTTGAAACATACCGAATTCTTTTACTGCTCCGATTGTAAAGCAGAATGTTCAATATATAACACATACATGCACTCAGCATAGTATTCGTTAAAAGGTCTGTCTACCTCATTACCACCACCGGCAAGCGAATGTATTAATGAATAAATCCTAAATCCTAATTCCTACATTTACCTCAAGTATCAGATTGTGATTACTTAATCCACAACACAACATTTAGATGAAGGCCCATTGCGGATCACTGTATTATAACTATCTGCAAGGTACTGTAATATATTTTATACACCCCTGTTACTAGGTCAGTTGTATCAGTGTACGCAATTGAACTCGATCAGATAAAAGCGATAAAATATGTCACCGTGTCTGTATTGTACATAGAGATAGTACTATTCTGCTGATTAAGATGACTTTAAAGTCTCCTTGAACATTGAACGACTCACCTGACCAGGTGTACATGTTACTAGACACAGCACATCTAAACGGCGACTTGGGGCGTGTACTTGCAACCAAACGAAATATAACTGGAGAAAGTGCAGGTAAATTTTAGTCCTACTATATTGTCATTTATTATACATAGGGAAGATAATGTATCTGATAATGAACTGGTTTGGAGGTTGCTGCAGTTTGTGTTTCTGAAGGGTGGTTAAACATTACCGTTTGTTCCCACGTTCGCACCGTAGTACTTACTCGTCATATAACTATCTTGTAATGTTTCAGTTACAATTGCTTTTTAAAATTTATATCCCATTTCATATTTTCATTTATACCATAATTCACTCTACATGAAGTCATGGTTAATTACATATCTAATTGTAAAGTGATATCTTCTTTTTTTTGTTGGTTTGTTTATTTTTTATTAGTTCGCTTTGTGTTTTCATTCCTACTGTACTGATATCCATCTTGGTGATAAAAACTATTGTCACGTTAACCCAATAGAGAGGCGTCCTTCTTTAGTATAATGAAGACGTTTCATAACTTTTCGTCATATCAGGACAGGTCTTATTGCATTTAGACATTAACACCCATACCTTACACTTCATGTATTTAAATAGAGTATACTGATATGTCTTTACCCCTTTTACCAATTCTTTATCATTAATACAATGACTTTCATTTGTCTAATTTAAGATATTGGTCTGAGGAGTCATGTCTTTGTCCAAGATCCTAACGGAAGATTTCCTAACGTGCAGCATATGTTTTGAAAAGTTCAAAGACCCCAAGGTCCTCGGCTGTTCGCATACGTTTTGCCAGCATTGCCTCCAAGACCATTTGGACAGAAACTTTAAAGGTCAGCCTGGCTTCCCTTGTCCTATCTGTAGACATCAGTGTGACCTCCCTAGGGGCGGTGTTAGCAGTTTACAAACAAATCATCTTGTGGTCAGCATATCACACACACTTGGTCAAGTAGAACAAGCCAAAGCTGCCAAGAAATGCGAGGTATGTTGCTTGAAAAATGCACGCAATCCACTGATGGCGACAAAACGTTGTTTGGACTGCAGTGAAAGTATGTGTGGAAATTGTTCTTCTGACCATGTGCTTCATAAGTTAAACCGTGACCACAAATTGTTTCCTGTCGACCAGATAGACAGCGACGAATACGTGACAGAGCTGCGTGCCCGACAAAACATCCTTTGTGACCACAACAACAAGGACCCCGTAGAAATCTTCTGCCCAGTGTGTAAAATGTTCATCTGCGTCGGTTGTATGGTTTTAGAACACAAGGATCATGATTGCCTAAGAATCAACACTGCTGCTGACAAACGTAAGGAAAAACTAGAACTCAACATAAAACCTATCGAGAAGAAAAGTCTACTCTACGATCAGTTTAAAACCGCTGCTGAAGACCAGAAAGCATCAGTAGAAGAGGGAAGAAAGAAGGCAAAGAATCAAGTTAACCAGCAGTTACAGCTAATGATTACAGTGCTCCGTCAATGTGCTGATGATCTTCTGGTAGAAATAGATGCCAAGTCGGACGCTAAACTAGAAGTTTTGGATGGTTTAATTGCGATTGCTACCGCCGACCAAAACCAACTGGACGACGTTGTAGACTTCTCCAGAAAGGTAATAAACCATGGGAACAATATGGATGTCCTTCAAATGGCCTCCGCCTGTGAGCAAAGCAGCGAGAGCGTTCATACTCTCGACATCCCGACCCTGTCTGCAACCATGACCCGCCTACAGCTTATCACCAAAGACATGGAGGAGTGGGTTACCAATATCAACCGTTGCCTTGGAGACGTGGTTCCTGCTGTATGTGGAAGACTGGTGACATCGTTTAAAGTAGAATTAGCAAAGTCTCCTGAGGAGGTGCTCAGTCATGTGACCACTGATGCAAATGGTGACACCCTTGTTGGTGTTTTTTGTAATGTTGAAAGATCAGTGAATAGAATCCACATCTACGATACCAACTTTGTCCTACAGGGCACAATACCAAACCCAAGAGCAGCAGAAAAGTATGCCTTTGCCGGGATTGCCATTGATGATGACGGTAACATCGTCACTAGATGTCTTGGATCAAATGAAATCATTGTCTACGCCAAGACAGGAAACCACGTGAGAACATTCCACAGTGAGTCACCCGAAGCTATAGCGGTCAACAGCAAGGGTCACTATGTGGTGGCCGGTCGTAATAATCTGACTGTGCACCACAAGGATGGCAAGGTCCTGCAGACGACACCAGACCCTGGAGAGGGTAAATATTTCAAACGCATCCAATGTAAAGTGAATGATGACGTCATCGTCACAGATCCAGGGGATCATCACATCCGCGTATATGATCCCACTCTCCAGCTTAAATATAGATATGGTACCCTGGGTGATGGGGATGGACAGGTGAACCTTCCAGGCGGCACTTTCTGCATGGATAATGGAGATATAATTCTAACAGACCTCAAGAACCATCGTCTACACCTGGTGTCACCAGATGGGAAATTCAGACAGTTTCTTTTAAGCAAAGAAAATGGGCTTGATGGACCAAAAGATGTTGCAATTAATCGTCTCGGACAACTAGTCGTTGGGGAAAAGACAGGCGAGATTAAAGTCTATCAATTATGACTGATTGCCAGCATACCAAGTTAACAAGGAACTACGGAAATATTGTGTTTGTAAAAACGAAAAATAGAGAAACTGGATATTTCATAACTTAGCAGTTCATATGTTATTGCCACTTGAATCATGAACGCATTGGTTGTATATAAAGACGAGAATTGTTAGCTGTGATTAAACAGTAACATGGCAGAATATGGAGTATTTGTGTGCAGCGTATATTGTTATAATACAAACATTTACTGTAGCCTGATTAAAATAGGAAATCCTAATTGAAAAAAAAAAATAATAAAACTATTCCATCACAGAATAGACTCTAATTGTGTGCCAACAATACTTTATAATACAAATATTTTAATGATTATACTAGAAAAACTTATCTGAAAAATAATCATATAATATTGACACTTAATATTCTCAGAAAAGGAAACATCTGGCAGGGTAATATGATTGAGAATATGGCAATATTTATTCTGTTACAAGGACTAGTGTGTGTATCACCTCTTCATCATCTGCCTTTTAGGTTTATATAATTGTTGTTCTCAGTGAAATAAATTTTGATGATATTGGTACAATGCATTCATCAAAGACGTTTGATATAAATTTTACGATTGGTAAAATTAGGTTATGCTTTGATTTATACTTAAAACTCTCAGAAAATTTAAGTATTAATAGTTAGGCCTAAATAGTCAAAAGGTTGAGATTGTACCGTTACATGCGTTGGAATAAAAATAAAGGAATTACATTAAGATCAAATTCAGTCCGGAATGAAACGCTGACTTTTAAAATTTTAATAAAAGATAAATGAATAAAAATGTTTCGGAATTGATCACTCTTGAAATTGGATTGGTTATATCTTGGTTTTCTTTGTGTTCTGGAAGTTATGAGGTAATTTTGCTTATCCTTTGTCGTTTTTTATTATTGGTAGGAACGGTGATTATATAATGTTATTACTACATTATGTTATCACCACATAATGTTGAATGTTAATTATAAATAACTCTGATACTGGAACTTATATTTAACAACAGAAATTATGATAATTATTATGATAATTGCCAACGGTTTGTGCAGCAGGAGCGAAGTGCAAACGCTCTGTCAAGTGCTCATCTATGAAAGAAATCTGTAACACATGACAAAGCTAGGTTAGTGTACGTTTGACTAATATCGCGCCAGTAGCTAAATCGAGGCTGTTAGGGGGAAGGGGATCGTGCTTCATTCAGATCTACTCGACCAATCAGATCGGACAAGAGTGACTTGTAGTTTACTGTGCGTCATTCTGTAACTAGGTCGAAAAGAAAACCACACTTACCAGTCGAATGTGGCCGTGAATGTCGTCAAGACCCCGTGTGAAAGGTAAAGGTAGTATATATATCATTTCTAATAAATATAGGTAATAATGTAACTGTTCATATCTACATTAGTGTACCGGTAACAAGGTGTAACAATAAACACTGGGTATTTTACATAGCACAGCACTTTCTTTTTTGCTGTTAAAGATTGCGTCTGTTTATCACGTGCTCTGAAAGTTGCATGACCTTTCACTCAACAGCTACACGTATTAAATTTCACCAGTATTATGCATCCTTTCATCGCCCCTGATGTTGGGCATTTTAATTTGATGGTAAACATTGTATTTTAAATAAAAAAGAGAAAAGGTGAAGGGCATTGATTGATTTCCGTCCACATTTCAAAGGTAAACACAGACATATCAATTACGCCGGGGCAGATCCAGGGTATTCAGAACTGAAGGACCAGAAAAAAGATTGATTTGTATTATTTGTACATTATTCCACCAATTGAATGTGCTATAAGCATTTCAGCTTCTTTATGTAAGGTCACTGTTTGTGTGTTTGTGGTAACAAATGTCCCCTCAGCCATTCAGTATTGGAAAGCCCACTGAAATCTTCCGACAAATAAAGTGTTGAGAAAGGCCAGAACCCCCTGAAAAATATTTTAAGTCTATGTCACCACTTGTCCCTGTCCTCTCCTGCACCCATAGAGTTATTTTGAAGAAACTTCAATTCTCTTTGAATAAAAGAAGCGTGCAAAGCGTGTATTCATGACTAAACCCGGTAAATGCAACCACATTGTTTCAAATAATATACATTCAGTATACATGTACATAGATCTGGGCCGTAACTTTAAAACATCGCGTATTGCCAATAGTGATATCACATAGACCCCATTTCCAGAGATTAGATCGATCTACTTTAGATCGACCTAACTCCCTGGGGGTTCACGCTAAATAGCTGTCAGCCGGGCGGACACGAAAGTTAATTACCCTCTTACAGCTTGTAGTAGGCGGGACGGACATTTAAGCCGGATTATCAGACAGTAATCTAGTGAGACTCCCTGCGGTGATAGATCGATCTAAAAGCTCTGGGAATACAGCCAAAGAGGCTACAGTGTATTATATGGGGCGAGTATGGGCGTGCTATGGAATCAAGACGCTTGCGCTGAGTCGGGGCCCTGTTTATCATTGTTTTAACTAATTAGAAATAAGCTAGCGAAATAATTGTTTATTCAAGAGGAACTTTACTAATATCAGTCTAGCAGCTTAAATCATTAAAAACCAATTTATTTTTTCTGCTCTCACACATAAAACCTAAAATGGCTGAATTTTAAACCTTCGTTACTGTCTCTCGCATCACCATATTATGTTATCCAATCCAAGTTATTTTTACGAAGTAGAACTTCACAGGAAGCGATCATGATGTCTTACGTCTCAGAAAATGTCTGGAATGTTAATTTTAAATATCTTAATAAATAGTTGGGACAATTGTTGCAGTGTGGCGGGTTTTTAAAAAATGAAAAATAAAATGTAACCACTGATGATTGAATTTTCAAAGTGAGTAAAACGTTTCCGCCTCTGGACGTTTTGCATTTGTGACATTTTTGGAGTTAGACATTGAATTATTTTTTATTATTCATGGTTCGTGTGGGACCCTAAAATAATCGAACATAGTTTGTAATCTGTTCACTTAATATTTTAAGAGCATACCTGTGACCTCATTTGCACCTATATATTGGGTTAGTATGCATATCGTGATGACGGGAAATGAATGCTTCCTCCATTATCAAATCTTTGTCAATGATTCGATGTCTTTCATTTCTGTATTTAGATATTGGTCCCAGGAACCATGTCTCTATCCAAGGTCCTAACAAAAGATTACCTGACGTGCAGCATATGCCATGAAAAGTTCAAAGACCCCAAGGTCCTCGGCTGTTCGCATACGTTTTGCCAACATTGTCTCCAACAACTTTTGGACACAAATGTCCAAGGTCGGCCTGGCTTCCCTTGTCCTATCTGTAGACGTCAGTGTGACCTCCCTTGGCGCGGTGTAAGTGGTTTACAAACAAACCATCTTCTGGTCAGCATCTTACATACAATTGATCAAGTGGAACAAGCCAAAGCTGACAAGAAATGCGAGGTATGTTGTCTGAAAAATGTCCGCAATCCACCACCCGCCACAAAACGCTGTTTGGACTGCGAGGAAAGTATGTGTAGAGATTGTTCTTCAGACCATGTGCTTCATAAGTCCAGTCGTGACCACAAATTGTTTCCTGTCGACCAGATAGACAGCGACGAATACGTGACAGAGCTGCGTGCCCGACAAAACATCCTTTGTGACCATAACAAGAAAGACCCCGTAGAAGTCTTCTGTCAACGGTGTGAAATGTACATCTGCGGCATTTGTATGTTTTTGGAACACAAAGATCATGATTGCCTGAGAATCAAAACTGCTGCGGACAAACGAAAGGAAAAACTAAAAATCCACGCCAAACCCATCGAGAAGAAAGGTCTACTCTGCCATCAGTTTAAAACCGCTGCTAAAGACCAGAAAGCTTCAGTACAAGAGAGAGGAAAGGAGGCAAAGAAACAAGTTAACAAGCAGACAGAGCTAGTTATCAAGATGGTCCGTCAACGTGCTGCTGATCTTCTGGAAGAAATAGATGCCAAGTCGAACGCCGTACTAGAAGTTATAGATAATTTAATTGCAACTGCTACCGCCACCCAAAACCAAATAGACGACGCTGTTGATTTCTCGAGAAAACTCATTAACCATGGCAGCGATATGGATGTCCTGCAAATGGCTTCCGCCTGTGAGGAAAGCAGCAAAAGCGTTCAGACTCTCGACATCCCTACCCTGCCCGCAGCCATTACCCATGTCGACCTACAGATTATCAACAACGATATGGAGGAGTGCGTTACCAATATCAACCGTTGCCTTGGAGACGTGGTTCCTGTCGCAAGTGGAAGACTGTTGACATCGTTCAAAGTAGAATTGGCCGAGTCTCCAGAGGAGATAATCAGTCATGTGACCACTGATACAAATGGTGACATCCTTATTGGTATTTGGTGTCAGAAAGACATGTCACGGAATAGAATCTACATCTACGATACCACCTTTGGCCGACAGGGCACAATACCAAATCCAAGAGCAGCAGAAAAGTATGCCTTTGCCGGGATTGCCATTGATGATGACGGTAACATCGTCACTAGATGTCTTGGATCAAATGAAATCATTGTCTACACCAAGACAGGAAACCACGTGAGAACATTCCACAGTGCGTCACCAGAAGCAGTAGCGGTCAACAGTAAGGGTCACTATGTTGTAGCTGGTAACAGTACTCTGACTGTGCACCACAAGGATGGCAAGGTCTTGAAGAAGACACTAGACCCAGAGAGCAATTGTGTCAAATACATCCACTGTAACGTGAATGATCAGGTTATCGTCACAGATCAAGGAAATGATCACATCCGTGTATACGATTCCACTCTCCAGCTTAAATACATATATGGTACCAAGGGTGATGGGGACGGCCAGGTGAACGGTCCAGGTGGCACGTGCTGTTTGGATAATGGAGATATTATTTTAATAGACCTCAACAACCATCGTCTACACTTAGTTTCTCAAGATGGAAAGTTCAAGCAATTTCTTTTAAGCCAAGAAAATGGACTTAACTGGCCGAGAGATGTTGCTATAAATCGTCTCGGACAATTGGTCGTTGGGGAAAAGACAGGCGAGATTAAAGTCTATCAATTATGACTTATTATACCAAGCTACCAATGGACTATGAAAACATTACGTTTTTAAAAATAGGCATTTTAACATGTAGTTAGTTAGCAGGGTCGAGTAGCTCATGTTTCAAATGGTTCATGAACGTTTTGTTTCAGTAACGATATTTCGGCATATTCGTTGCACATACACGCAAGGGGGAGAACTGTTAGCTGTGACTAAACAGTCACACGGCAGAATATGAGGTATTTGTGTGCAACGTATATTGTTATAATTCAAACAATTACTGTAGTTTGATTATAATGGGACGTCCTGATTGAAAATGAAAATGTTATTATCACAGTATAGGAACTTACTGCGTGTCACGTATATATTGTAATACAAATATGCACTGTTTCTCAATTATACTGGAAAACCTGAACGAAAAATATGATATTGAAATAGTTATTCTCAGGAAAAGAAACATCTGGCAGAGAAATTAAAATGAGAATATGACAATGTTTACATTGTTACAAGGACTAATGCGTGTATCACTTCTCTATCATCTGCTATTCAGTTTCATATAATTATTGTTGCCTGTAAAATAATTATATTATAATGGTACATTACATTCATCAAAGACGTTTGTTATTAATTATACCGGTTTAAATATAGGTTATGCTTTGCGTTACTATTATACCTTGGTTTACTAATCTCACATTGATATTGGATTATCAGTAATAAAAGAAGTACCATCGGAGTAACTTATAATTATGTTTATTATAAATATTAAGTTTCTTTTAAAAATTGCAAGGAAAAGTTTCAAGTTGTACAGATACATAAGTTTGAACAAAAATGATAAAACATTTACATTACGTTTACTAGTACATAAAATAAAGTATTTATAAGATCAATTGAGTTCAAAGTTAAACACAGATATTTAAAAGTTTGATAATTGTTTTACTAGTACCAGTACCCTAGTAGATGTACCATTTGCTGTATTATTTTAAGTGTGCTCCTACATGTACAGTATATACCAGTGTAACAAAACTGTATGAGGGTCCTTGTAACAGAAAGTCCGTACCCCATTTAGTTATAATGGTTAGGGTTAGTCTGACCTAAGTGGGTCAAAATCTAGGGCGAGGCTTACCGAGGCTTATATGGAGGACGGATTTTCTGTTACACGAACCGTCAGTTTCGTGACACCGACCCTGGCGCTGTATTGCAGTAGATGTGCCTTGTCTCATACATTGCACATTGAGTTTGTTGAGGTTTTTCATCCACATAAAAATACGCATTTTTATTCCTTTGCTCAGTAATCATACAGCAGTTTATATGAGAATAAAAAGATCATAAAACGGTTTGATATTTGGAATTCAAATGCTTTGTCAGGTTTTTATCTATGGCAGAACGCTGTCACGTGGAGGTCAGTGAACGTCTAAATAGTATCGCGTCTTTACAGTCAGTAATTAAAACGAGGTTCTCGGGGGGAGGGGTATCGCGCCTCATTCAGCACTTCTCGACCAATCAGGTAAGACAAAAGTGCCTTGTTATGTTTACCTGCATGAAGGTCGCGATAGATGGGAAAGCCAAACCTACGAGTCGAACACATTTCGTCACAGCCCAGTGTGAAAGGTGAGCGATTTTATATTTCGTTTCTCATACGTGTAGGTTACATTTAAACGGTTCACTTGCATTTGAGACATAGCCTATCCATACAAATGATATAATCCGATAAGTGTAAAAAACACTGCGTATTTAAAGAACACAGAGGCGCCCTCTCGCCAACTGAGTTGCTTTCACTTTCGACTGATTTATAACACATATCTGCTTTTCACTAAAAGTTGGCTGACATTTTAACAACTATACGTACTTAATCAACAACACACACCCTCTCATTGCTGTATATATTGGCCATTAAAGTCGATGAATTTAACTACTAGTAAGTGTCAGAAGGTAACTAGGTGGTGACGATGGGTAACCATAGCATATCCCCGCACTTTGCCATATTGCCAAAATAGGTCACCCCAGGGACCCCATCCCCTTGGATATTTATGCTGCTGCCTAAGTCTTGATTATTAGAAATATAAACATCATGGCAACAAAAAGGTAAGAAATCTGTTTTCATGTATGGCATCCTGAAAATACCGGTAGGTCAATCAATTCCTTGAGTTCAAAGCTCATCACTTCCATAGTCTCGGAGTAGGAAGATGCAAATAACAAGTCATTCTATACATATAGAAGGACCCACCTAATATCAGAATAATAGCTATTACTGCCGTTTTGTGGTAAAACAGAATATATTATATTTCTAAGAATTGTTCACAACGTTTTATTGTGAAATATAGATACAAACGAATAATTAAATTATGTGCGACCCTCTTAAAGATAATTAGAGCGATATACATCTAATTTGTCTTACTAAGAGTTCATGTCCCTCGCGATCGAGCGCATCAAAGTATCACTCAACGAGGGTTTTTAAGTAAAGTCTTTTATATTGATGGGAATCAGACAATTTACAGTAATGTATATTTAACCGAACAATTAGCTTACAACTTGTGAAGTCAAATATTTACAAAGGATTTATAGTAAAGTACATACACAGCACAGGAATGAAGCCCACTTGGCTTTAAGACACTTGCTTTCACAAGATTTTTTGCAAGAACCAGCAGCTATAGTTACATATTATTATACGATGTGGTGTGCAGGCCCGTTGTGATAATAAAGCGCGCGAGGTTTTGTGATATTGGCAAAAGTTGCCATTGATTCTTTAAGTGAAAGAAAGTATAAGTTGGGTGTTGTTTGCGGGACCCGCTTGATTTCTATTCAAATTGAATTTCTATTCAAACTGAATTTTGCGTCATGTAGAAATGGCATTCAATTCGCTTAAAAGCTGGATACAAAGGACACTCGTTCTGAGTACACAATCGTAAATCGTAAGATCAGAGGTTATGAATGAAGTGTTTTATGCGAACACCGACAAAAGCACAAAATTAAATGGAGTCAACCCTAATCTTACACGCTAAGTTAATTGGTTAATTGGTTTCTGACCACTGATTCCTTTTGTCAGAGAACATCTATCGTTTTTTTTTTTTTTTACACATTTCATTTTATTTTTCATTTCATTTTTATGCACCTTTCATTATAACGAAATGTTGTACAATGAAAAGCCTCAATTACAAAATCTTCATAATTAATTCAATATCTTTTATTTTTCTATTCTTAGATATTGGTCCCAGGAACCATGTCTCTGTCCAAGATCCTAACGGATGATTACCTAACATGCAGCATTTGCCTTGAAAAGTTCAAAGATCCCAAGGTCCTCGGCTGTGCACATACCTTTTGCCAACATTGCCTCCAAGACCATTTGGACAGAAATTTCCAAGGTCAGAGTGGCTTCCCTTGTCCTATCTGTAGACGTCAGTGTGACCTCCCTGTGGGCGGTGTAAGAGATTTACAAACAAATCATCTTCTGGTCAGCATATTACACACGATTGATCAAGTAGAACAAGCCAAGGCTGCCAAGAAGTGTGAGGTATGTTGTCTGAAAAATGTACGCAATCCACCACCCGCCACAAAACGCTGTTTGGATTGCAATGAAAGTATGTGTGGAGAATGTTCTTCAGACCATGTTCTTCATAAGTTAAACCGTGACCACAAATTGTTTCCCGTCGACCAGTTTGACAGCGACGAATACGTGACAGAGCTGCGTGCCCGACAAAACATCCTTTGTGACCATAACAACAAGGATCCCGTAGAAATCTTCTGCCCGAGTTGTAAAAAGTTCATCTGCGTCGGTTGTATGGTTCTAGAACACAAGGATCATGACTGCCTAAGAATCAACATTGCTGCTGACAAACGCAAGGAAAAACTAGAACTCGACATAAAACCTATCGAGAAGAAAATTCTACTCTACGATCAGTTTAAAATCGCTGCTGAAGACCAGAAAGCGTCAGTAGAACAGGGAAGAAAGGAGGCAAAGAATCAAGTTAACAACCAGGTAGAGCTAGTTATTAAGGTGGCCCGTCAACGCGCTGCTGATCTTCTGGAAGAAATAGATGCCAAGTCAGACGCCAAACTAGAAGTTTTAGATGGTTTAATCGCAACTGCTACCGCCGATCAAAACCAACTGGACGACGTTGTAGACTTCTCCAGAAAGCTCATAAACCATGGGAACGACATAGATGTCCTGCAAATGGCCCCCGCCTGTGAGCAAAGCAGCGAGAGCGTTCATACTCTCGACATCCCGACCCTGCCTGCAGCCATGACCCAGCTACAGCTTATCACCAAAGACATGGAGGAGTGTGTTACCAATATCAACCGTTGCCTTGGAGACGTGGTTCCTGTCGTGAGTGGAAGACTGGTGACATCATTTAAAGTAGAATTGGCTAAGTCTCCTGAGGAGGTGCTCAGTCACGTGACTACTGATTCTGATGGTGATATCCTTATTGGTATTTGGTGTCAGAATGACATGTCACGGAATAGAATCCACATCTACGATACCAACTTTGTCCTACAGGGCACAATTCCAAATCCAAGAGCAGCAGAAAAGTATGCCTTTGCCGGGATTGCCATTGATGATGACGGTAACATCGTCACTAGATGTCTTGGATCAAATGAAATCATTATCTACACCAAGACAGGAAACCACGTGAAAACATTCCACAGTGAGTTACCAGAAGCTATAGCGGTCAACAGCAAGGGTCACTATGTTATAGCTGGTAACAGTACTCTGACTGTGCACCACAAGGATGGCAAGGTCTTGAAGAAGACACCAGACCCAGAGAGTAAATGTGTCAAATACATCCAATGTAACGTGAATGATCAGGTTATCGTCACAGATCAAGGAAATGATCACATCCGTGTATACGATTCCACTCTCCAGCTTAAATACAGATACGGTACCCAGGGTGATGGGGACGGACAGGTGAAGGGTCCAGGTGGCACGTGCTGCTTGGATAATGAAGACATTATTTTAATAGACCTCAACAACCATCGTCTACACTTAGTTTCTCAAGATGGAAAGTTCAAGCAATTTCTTTTAAGCCAAGAAAATGGACTTAACTGGCCGAGAGATGTTGCTATAAATCGTCTCGGACAATTGGTCGTTGGGGAAAAGACAGGCGAGATTAAAGTCTATCAATTATGACTTATTATACCAAGCTACCAATGGACTATGAAAACATTACGTTTTTAAAAATAGGCATTTTAACATGTAGTTAGTTAGCAGGGTCGAGTAGCTCATGTTTCAAATGGTTCATGAACGTTTTGTTTCAGTAACGATATTTCGGCATATTCGTTGCACATACACGCAAGGGGGAGATTGTTAGCTGTGACTAAACAGTCACACGGCAGAATATGAAGTATTTGTGTGCAACGTATATTGTTATAATTCAAACAATTACTGTAGGTTGATTATAATGGGACGTCCTGATTGAAAATGAAAGTGTTGTTGTAAAGTTTTAGAATTCGAGGACGAATTCTTTTGAAGAAGGGGTGTATGTTGTAAAGTTTTAGAATTCGAGGACGAATTCTTTTGAAGAAGGGGTGTATGTTGTAAAGCAAATTACTTACACTTTCACTAATTACAGATAGCAATTAAAGCGGAATCAAAAGAGTAAAAAGACAAAGAGTTATTGAGTGTAAGTTAAGTTTCTCCAAGAGTCAACAAGTGTAGAACATGTTTTTAGTGTCAGAAAAAGATGGAAAAGGTCAAAGTCAGTAACAGTTAATGTGATTGGTTAATTTCATAACATATAATAATTTTGATCATCTATTTATCACATGATAACTGAGTTTTGGACAAGATCCAAGTATGAGTAATCCAAATAATATTTTAGATATCTTTAATTGAAAACAAGTCTCTAATGGATTACCTAATAAGGAAATGTTGCATAGTGACTTGCAACATGAGAATGGAAAATATTTTGTAATCACGCAAAGACAATGGAAAAGAAAACAAGTAAATGCGTGATTAGTACGGAGAAATTGAGTATAAATATTTGTGAAGTTGTATGAAGAGTGAGTCGGTGAATAAACGTTCGGAAGCTCCAAACTGTTGTCGTCATTACTAACTATAACAGTGTTATTATCACAGTATAGGAACTTACTGTGTGTCACGTATATATTGTAATACAAATATGCACTGTTTCTCAATTATACTGGAAAACCTGAACGAAAAATATGATATTAAAATAGTTATTCTCAGGAAAAGAAACATCTGGCAGAGAAATTAAAATGAGAATATGACAATGTTTACATTGTTACAAGGACTAATGCGTGTATCACTTGTCTATCATCTGCTATTCAGTTTCATATAATTATTGTTGCCTGTAAAATAATTATATTATAATGGTACATTACATTCATCAAAGACGTTTGTTATTAATTCTACCGGTTTAAAAATAGGTTATGCTTTGCGTTACTATTATACCTTGGTTTACTAATCTCACAAAAAATTATTGGATCATCAGTAATAACATAAAAAGAAGTACCATCGGAGTAACTTATGTTTATTATAAATATTAAGTTTCTTTAAAAAATTGCAAGGAAAAGGTTTAAGTTGTACAGATACATAAGTTCCAACAAAAATGGTAAAACATTTACATTACGTTTACTAGTACATAAAATAAAGTATTTACATTAAGACCAAATGAGTTCAAAGTAAAACGCAGTTATCTAAAAGTTAGATCAAAGTTGCTGTTTTACGCTAGTACCAGTGCACTAGTATATGTACAAATTGCCATATTATTTTTCCGGTAAAGTGTTCTCCTATATACCAGTGTAACGAAACTGTATGAGGGTCCTTGTTACAGAAAGTACCATAATGTTTAGGGTTAGCCTGACCTAAGTGGGTCAAAAATCTAGGGCGAGGCTTACCTGTGCAAATGAATGACAAATAAGGCTTGCTTGGGACAGACCCTTCCCTCTTCTCCTCCCGAAATCCAGGACTATGATCCATGGCCATTGTGCTGATGAATGTATGACATAAAAATAAAACTTACTTAATTTACTATAATGTATCAGTGTTAAATGGTGACAAGTTGACCAGTCCGTTTAAACGCTCATCTATGTATGACACTCACATATAACGGATGTTTTGTATGAATGAAGATATCCCTTGGAATGCAGTCATAAGCAACCGCGTAAGGACCAAACTGTTACTAGTGACTAAAAGTCATACCACGGAAAAATGGTTATTTGCGTATCATATGTATTATTGTTACGCACAAATATATTTCGTTCTCTCATATCACAAATCTTGAATGAAATAATCACCTTATTACGTAACTGTTTCCACGGTAAATCTCAGAAAGGAGAAATCTGACAGACTAAAAAAAATGGAGATTGATAGGACAGTGATAGATAATGTCATTACTACACAATGTTATCACCACATAATGTTGAATATTATTTATAAATAACTCTGATACTGGAGCTTATACATTTAACGACAAAAATTATAATTATGATCATGTTTTCACAAGATAATTACAATTATCATTCTTATTCCTCTGGATGACTGATAACATTTTTCACGTAATGTTATCACCAAACAGCTTCTCTATTTGTCTGCTTTTAAGTCTACTTATTCCTAGGACTACCTTTCTTGTCACACCCGCTCATGATGTATTGCGGTAGATGCGCCTTGACTCACACGTTGCACATTAATTGTGTTTGTTGACATTGTTGAGGTTTGTCATATGTGAGATACATGTAGAACTACTCAGCTCTGTTTCTTTGCTCAGTAATCATACAACAGGCTATATGAGATTATAAAAATATAGATCAATTGGCAGACTGTGCAGCTAGAAGTGAAATTCGAACGCTCTGCCACGTGCTCGGCAATGGAAGAAGTCTGCTACACATGGCAGAGCTAGGTCAGTGAAAGTTAAAACAGATCGGGCAAGATCTCGAGTTAACTGTGCGTCATTCTGTAACTAGGTCGAAAAGAAAGCCACACATACCAGCGAATACAGACGCCACAGTCCAGTGTGAAAGGTGAAGGGTTTAATGTTTTGTTTTTAATACTTGTAGGTACTATTTCACCTGTTTACTCGCATTTGACATATCTCTACATTAATGTAAGCGTTACGAAAACTACGGCTACGAGAACATGGCGGCTCCTTAGTGACAGGTCTGTTACTTTCACTTTCGACTGATGTGTATTTTATCTGTTTTTTTTTTACTCCGAGTTGGCTGACATTTTTTATCATCTGTGCATATTTAATCAACTACATATTCACTTTCATTGCGGTATATATTTGTCATTAAAATTGATGAATTTAACGTTACTGAATTAGTGTCTGCACACAGGGTAACTAGATATACTGCAGTAGATGGTGTCGATGAGGTGCGGGGGTGTGGGGGGGGGGCGGTAGGGGAGTGGGAGTTACTTGCATATTTTTATAAGATGTGGTATGGAGGCCACTGTGACAATCATGCCAGCAGGGTTTCGCTATACTGACTAAAGATGTCATTGATTCTTTAAATTAAAGAAAATATAAATTTGGTATTGTAAGCGGCACACGCTTTAGGGGTGCATATCTATTCAAACCGAAACTTGTAATTGGTCATTGAGTCTCTTTATATTAAATTGGCCATTGCTTGTAACCCTGCATATTTGATTAGTAAACATATTGGTATATAGACTTAAGATTAAAAGAATATATATATTATAAGGATCATTATTATTATTATTATTATTAAATTTGAATAGGGTTAATCTTATACATGTGCAATTTTCAAGTTGTTGGTTTCTGACCACTGCTTTCTTTTATCAGAGAACATCCATTGTTTTGTGTATTGAATCATTTTAACACTTACAAGTATATTTTAAGAGTGTGCATCTCACAACTATTTGTTTTTATTGTAAAATCCAACTTTTTTAAGTTGCAAATAAATACATATTATTATTATTTATTTTTATTATAATTATTTTATACATATTCTATCATATCGCAGACATACAATGAAAAAACCTCCATTACAAAATCTTTGGCATTAATTCGATGCCTTTCATTTCTCTATTTAAGATATTGGTCTGAGGAGCCATGTCTTTGTCCAAGATCCTAACAAAAGATTTCCTAACGTGCAGCATATGCCATGAAAAGTTCAAAGATCCCAAGGTCCTCTGATATTTGCATACGTTTTGCCAGCAATGCCTCCAAGAAAATTTGTGACTCAACATCCCGACCCTGCCTGCAGCCTTGACCCAGATTATCACCAACAACATGGAGGATTGCGTTAACAATATCAACAGTTGCCTTGGAGATGTGGTTCCTGACGTGAGTGGAAAACTGGTGACATCATTCAAAGTAGAATTGGCCGAGACGCCAGAGGAGATAATCATGCATGTGACCACTGATACAAATGGTGATATCCTTACTGGTGTTTGGTGTAATGAGGACAGGTCACGGAACAGAATCCACATCTACGATACCAACTTAGATCTACAGGGCACAATTACAAACCCAAGAGCAGCAGAAAAGGAGGCGTTTGTTGGGATTGCCATTGATGATGACAGTAACATTGTCACTAGATGTCTGGTGTCAGATGAAATTATTGTCTACACCAAGACAGGGAACCACGTGAAAACATTCCACAGTGAGTCACCAGAAGCAGTAGCGGTCAACAGCAAGGGTCAGTATGTGGTGGCTGGTAGTAATACTCTGACTGTGCACCACAAGGATGGTATGGTTCTGCAGACGACACAAGACCCAGAGGTTAAATTTCAAAAATACATTCACTGTAACGTTAATGATGACATCATAGTTTCAGATCCAGGAGATGATCACATCCGTGTATACGATTCCACTCTCCAGCTTAAATACAGATATGGTACCCAGGGTGATGGGGATGGACAGGTGGACGCTCCATGTGGCACATGCTGCTTGGATAATGGAGACATAATTCTAACAGATTTCTTCAACCATCGTCTTCACCTGATAACTCCAGAGGGGGTATTCAAGAGATTTCTTTTAAGCAGAGACAATGGACTATTCAGGCCAAACGATGTTGCAATAAACCAACTCGGACAACTGGTTGTTGGGGAAGAAGGAGGCAAGATTAAAGTTTTTCAGTTATGACTGATTACTGATATACCAAACCAACAATGGACTACGGATATATTATGTTTGGAAAAAACGGATATTTTATAACTTAGTTATAGTTACCAGACCCTGTCTAGCTCTTGTCTCGCTTGTATCATGAACGTTTTGTTTCAGTTTGGAACCCTCGCCATATTGGGTTTATATAAGAACGAGAAATGTTAGCTGTGACTAAACCGTCACATCACAGAAAATGAAGTATTTGTGTGCAATGTGTATTGCTATAATGCAAACATTTACTGTAGCCTGATAATAATGATAAGTCCTGACTGGAAAAAAAAAAATTGAAACTATTCTTTCACATATAGAATAGGAATTTATTGTTATGTAATACAAACATGTATTGTTTCTTGATTATCCTGGAAAACCTTCACTGAAAAATATTTCTATTGAAACTGTTATTCTCAGAAAAGAAAACCTTTGGCAGAGTAATTTGATTGAGAATATGATAATGTTTATTTTGTTTCAGTTTTATATATGTTCCCAGTAAAATTACCAATTTTAATTATATAGATACAATATAAAGTCATTTGTTATAAACTATATGAGTGGAAAAATTAGGTAGTGCTCTGCATTTTTCTTTGTTGCATTGATTTCTCAGAAAATTTATTATAGCTTATAAAACTTATGTATGAAAATAGTTCAATATAATAATATTAATTTTTGAAAAACTTTGCAAACAAAAGATTGAGGTTGTGCAGATACATGAGATCAAATAAAAATGATAAAATACATGTAGTATTTACTAGTTTTTTTTAGTAGTAGTTTATTAGCATCACTGTATGCGTATGATTACATAATAAATATATAGCGTGCAGAACATTACATACAGGGATAAATGATCAATAAAGGCATTACAAGTATAATATGTAGCGCAATACAATACCATGACAAAATCTTATAGTTCGGTACACCGTTTTTTAAAAGCTACTTTTCTGATATTTTCAAGACCTTGTATACATATGAAACGACTAAGTGCAAAATTGAGTCATGTTTCCATCGTCTCACGCCACAATGATGTTGCTGAGAGATCAGTTCTCGGTAATTTGATACAGATACTACAGTTGTAGGTCAGGCGGTTTATTTATACCATTTGATAAAACAAGCAATACAAAGCCTTCAGTGAAAAAAAAGGTGAAGTAAAAAAAAAGAGTGTGTCAGAAGTGGGATTCGAACCCACGCCCACATTCGTGGACCAGAACACTCGTACCTTCTGACAGAAGGCAAGGTAGCCCGTGTACCACCTTGAGTCTGGCGCCTTAGACCGCTCGGCCATCCTGACATCTGATGAAACTGGTTGACAAATAAAATACATAATCCAAGCTTTAGAAAATATGGCCCATTTCTGAGAATATCTGTTGATTGTAGCAAAAAATTATTAAACCTGAAGTATACTTTAATATGGGAAACTGTTGCCGGCTTATGACATTTGGCTTGTCTCTATTTCAAAGTGAAATTAAGTAGGTCACGGTACATAACGTCACTTCCGGTACAATTTCATTCCATGAAAACACGCGTGCTGCTGTTACGTTTACGTGTTGATGATTCTCTTGTTGATGAGTGTGTTTCCTCTCAGTGTACTGGTATGTGGCACGATTTTGAAGGCAAGAAAGCGTAGACTTCATTTACTTTTTTAAAATCTTTTTTAAGTAAACCTTTGAGTTCTTTGACAAATGCGATTACAGCAAATTAATTTCCCCTAGTCAACCCAAGAAGTTACAACAGATCTAGCTGTAAATGGTATGTTTGTGTAGCATATATATTTCTCATCCTCAATACTTAAATTAATATATATAAAAATTAATACGGTGGGGGTTATATGATTGTTATATGGTGAGTTATATGAGCCGGGGGGGGGGGGGGGAGGATACTGCAGACAAGAAGTGTCAAATTTTGGACTCTGTCCAAGTCAGATGTGATCGATTCCATTTGCTATTTCTTGCAAGTATACTAGATGCAATTTACCATACTGAAATCTTAAATGTAAAACAACCATCATTGTATTGTTTAACTTGAGCATCTTTTTTTTTTCATTTAGTTGATATATAGACAACATTGCATCTTAAAGTTTCTCAGTTATTCTCTGTGTATCTTTCAGCTTAGGATAGAGATGAGAGACTAAATGTGCCAGTGATATTTGGAACATGGCAGATATTCCCCAACATACAGCTGAATCCCAGGTACAGGAGGACACTCTGGAGCCTTCACCCAAGAAACAGAAATTAGAAGAAGGAACAGATCCTGTCGTGGTTAAAGATAAAGAAATCACAGGGAGTGAAGATGGAAGTCTCCTCACTGAAAAAGATTGTGGAATTACTGAGTACCTCAGTTCACATCAGGGGTTCACTGGGGTGCTGAAACAGAGGTGTAGTACATGGTGTTTTTTAAAAAATACTTTAAATACCAGTAATTGTTTCTCCTCCATAGTCTTTATGTTTTTGAAATTATGTGTGTATTCCATTGGATCCAGAAAGGATGTAAATGGCTGTGCCTGGATATCTTCATATCAAAATCTGTACATCTACATATTTCAGTAATTTCATTTCTTATAGTTTTCAATTCTACATATTTCAATTTACTATTTAGAAGAAAAGCAGCTTTTATTGGTATTCCAGACTGGTATTAATTTCCTAATTCCACATCTTTCACCAGAGTGTGGTAACAGACAGGGCCCCAGTGTGCTGATCTACAACTGTTTAATCACCTCTCTCCTTCAGGTTTTCAGATTTCATAGTCCATGAAATAGACACAGATGGTAATATAGTGCACCTGACAGATCTGTCTCTGCCACTGGAGAAGGAAGAGGTGAGATTTTAAAAAAAATATATATTAGATTTTATGGTCAGATGTAGGTACATCTCTACATGGAACCATGATAACTTTTCTCTGTCCAAATCAAGTGGATGATTTTAACATGGTACAGCTTACTTATTGCCATAAAGAACTGAATGATTGACCTACCATACTACTACTACTTAGGCTAATGGGTCTTGGAAGCTATTTTGTATACATTTTTCTTTATTTGTTTGATTACTTGGAATGAGTTATATTCAATTTGGTATCAGTTACACATTTTTGTGTTTTTTTTTTACAATAATTTATGATATATTTGACACTAATAATTAATAAAAAAAGGGTTGTCTAGATAGTTGTGTTTATGTTCTAGGACTTTTTGAAGTGATTGAATTTGAACTTATTGCTTTCTTCCTCTTTTTTGTCCCAGTGTCCAGATCCAGGATTAGACCTATGCCCATTCTTCTCTGCAGAAGACATTGCTAAACTTGAGGAGTTTGTGACAAGAGAAGACAAGGCTGCCACTCTGACACTGCCAGTGAGAAAAAACTTGTAACAGTTTATTGTGTGTGTGCGTGCGTGCATGCATTTGTGTGTGAGCAGGTTATTGGTGTATGACATAAAACTGATATTCAAGTCATTGTAGTATAAACCTATCATTTTCACTCTACAAAGAAAAAAAGAGAGAGAAAATTCTTAATCTGAAGATTTTAATGATCTTTAAAAAACAGTTTTAAAATTGGACAGGACTAGTTATGTCTGTATAAAATATGTGAACAAATTTCTTCAAAATGAATTCCGTGTCAGGTCCAGGAAGATAAAGAAATGAGAACCCAGATGTACAAAACCTTGAAGAAGAAGTATCCTAACTTAGATGGCAGAACTGTGAAAAGTGAGATAGGAGCAAGTGTCATTGAGGTCTCTTTCAAAAAAGGTAGTACTATAGCTGGCCACTCGGCTTGTGAAAGATATTTATTAAACAAATAAGTGAGAAAGTTGGTTAAGGTGTAACAATCTTTTTTGACTTTTGTTTCTTTCGGGTGAATAACTAAATATAAAAAGTTTGCTTCACATTGTGATAAGTCATTACCAAATACAGAGGTTGATAGCCATGGTAGAGGTAAAAAGCACTGTCCAATTTTGTGATGAATTTTAATCAAGTCTGGTTTTTATATTAGAGAAGTTTCTTAAGGTAAAGGTTTATCTATGAGAGCTCTGAATTCACTCTAGATGGTCCTCACTGGGCTGTTAGCTGACTGTACTGGAGCTTAGTTTACAAATCCTGGCTACTCTCTGTCTGGTGTAGTGAATAGTTTTAACTTTATAAACTCAAATCCCTTTACAAATAAAGATCCAACACAATATTTTAGTTATGTTTCTGTTTCCCAAACCTAATAACTAAAACAAGTGGAGGCAGTAGTAGAATAGGCTGATAATTTAAAAATAAAACCTTGTAATAATAATTTCAAATGTTCCCCCTACTGTTTAGTCACCAGAGTTATAAAACTTGACATGGAATTCTGGGATATATGACCATCACATGTTATTTCCTAGGGGAGAGTCGATCCTCACAGGTATGGCCTCAGAGCCGAGGAAAACACCTGAAGTTTGTACTGTACAAGGAGAACAAGGATACCATGCAGGCCATTAGTCAAATATCCAGATTTCTCAGGTAGGATGTTTTAAGGGTTTTTCCATATAAACTTTATCTGAACAGGGGCAGATTCAGAGATATTTTCTGAGAGCCTTCCTAATTATCTTTGTTGATCCATAACTCATTTTTTGATCGTCTTCGACAGAAAAAAAAATTAGACACCCGTCAATGTAAACTTGAAAATCTGTCTCCCTGAAGACCCAGAAGACAGCCTCAATCCGCCCCTGCTAATATATATATATATATATATATATATTATGTGACAAGTATGAAATGCATTCGCTGCTGTTAAAGAGACTCGCCCTATCTGTAGGCCTACTACATTTTCCTTACAAAAATGTGATTCAGCTGTCTGTCTGTCATTTTACTTCCCATAAGAAAACATCAAAAATATGTCAGACACAAGTACACACACCTCACAGGATGGTAAAGATGATTTTTTCATATTTTAAATATATATATTTTTTTAATTTTTAATATTTGGTATTTTTAGGATCAAGCCCAACATGTTTTGCTATGCTGGGACCAAAGACAAGAGAGCAGTGACCACACAATATATATCCTGCTTCAAGTAAGACATTACTAATTATTATGTATCCTGCTTCTTGTAAGATAAACTAATTACTGTAACAGAAACAGTTTCTTACAGAAATATATGATAGCAAATATTTCTTTGATACTTTGATCATGAAAGGTGGGGGTAACTTTTCTTTCAGAGTTGATGCAAAAAGGATCCAAGAACTCAATCAGCATACTGATACTTTGGCCATGGGAAACTTTAGGTATGATATCTATTATTTTTAAAAGATAACTTATTCCAAATTTTGAAATAATAACAATTGTAAAGAATAACATTTCTGTTGGATTAAATAAACTGTGTTGTAAGCAATATATTGTATTAGTTAAATCCTGCATTATGAATGGATTCAATTTATTAAAATGGTCATATTACCTTGATGTTAAACTCCTAGATAATCAGTCAAAATATGGTATATATATATATATGGCATTTGGATTTTGAACTATATTAATTCCCTGGATCTTGAACTTTTAAATGTCCAATTTTGTTATAATACTACATATTAGTATTTTGTTGTACAGATATGTGGATCACCCTGTAACCCTAGGGCAACTGAAAGGAAACCATTTCACTATTGTATTGAGGTGAGAAAGGTCTGCTGCATAATATTAATATAGAAGTGGTAATTTTGAAAAAATTATGTAAAATTTTATGGTTGCCTGCCACCTTGAATACTTGTGTCAAGTCCACGTCACCCAGTATATACAAGTGGTGTTGATAAGTCATTTAACAGGATTGTGCTGGGTGACTCCCCACACTAGCCAAAAAATAAAATGTAATTATTAAACAAAGGAAATTATTTTCTTCTAAGTTTAGGTATGTAGGTAAAATGGTAATAGTTTATGGTATTTAGAAGGCAGAAACTCTTTTGGGTTTAGCTGGCCACGGCTATTCTAGTTGTTTAATTTATGGTCATTAAGTTTTTTCATTCTTATTAAATAATGATATATCAGATATCATACACAAGTATAAGGACCAGGGGAACCCATGGTTTAACATCAGATTATCTCTTTGAGATTTCACTGCACCAAAGTCTAAACCAAAATTATATCAACCTGTTGTTAATGTAAAATTGTGTCAAATTGTTAGAACTGTTAGGGTTCTTTAACAGGACATGGCTGACATGTCTAGTAAACTAACTTTATCATAGATTTGTGATGTAATATGTTCTTTGTGGCTGTTCCAGGGATGTACTAGGCACAGATGACCAGATCAATGCTGGGTGGACGGCGGTACGGGAGACAGGACTGATTAACTACTTTGGAATGCAGAGGTTTGGTACAACAATTGTACCCACACACCACATAGGAAGGTTAGATATCATCTTGTTTGGAAGATTTAATACAATGTATTTTAAGTCTGAATTTGTCTAATGTTCTATTAGTCATCCATTGCAGAAATGTTTGATTGAAGACAAAATCGTGCATTTTGTTAACTGTAATGTTATGGTGTAGCACCCACACTAAGGGTAGGGGTGGGGTGAAATATTGGAACATATTATGATGTAAAACAATTCACATGACTGTGTTGTCGTGTTTATTTCAGAGCTCTGTTGCACTGTGATTATAAAGAGGCTTTGGAGCTGATTATGAAGCCAAGACATAAACCTGGGGAGAGAAGTACTGTAACACTATTTTTCAGTTTTCAAAAATTGTGTTTTGCTAAGTTATGTACTTTGTGCAGCACAATTGAATCACCAATGCAGATATTATTGTTGTGATCAAGTTTTTAAAATTTACATGTGACTTTTAGTAGTATGAGAACTTTGGTCTTTTGTTGATCTGAATTTGTTTTGTTTTCAAGCTGTGATTCAACAGAAATCAGATCTTAAAAGGATACATTTTATTTTAAAAATCATTTAAAGATTTTAAACTAAAAATTATGTAAAATGGTATCTGACCAATGACATTTTCATCTTGTTGTCACAGTTCTGTTGCATTTGCGATTAAAGCCTCACACCCTTTTGATACAGGTCTTATTGGAAAGTTTTGAATTTCATTTGATATCTTATATGTCCATGAATCTGTTTGTTTATGTAACACCCCAAGTGGGGACATTTTATATCTTACATGTTAATTAATTTGTTTGTTTTAATTACACTTAAGATTGGGCCATTTTATAAATTACATATTAATGAATTTGTTTTTTTTTAAACACTTAAGGCTGGGACATCTTATATATTAATGAATGTTTATTTTTTATAACACTTAAGGCTGGGATATTTTATATCTTATATATTAATTAACGTTTATTTTTTTTTAATTCTTAAGGCTGGGACAAACCGGAGCAGTGCAGACAGAAGTGGTCAGAGACGAGGGACGCTGGTCAGGCCCTGGCGGTCATCGGCAGGTTTAACTGTGTGGAGCAGTATGTGATGACTGGACTAAAGAAACATCAGGGGAAGAACTTCCAGGCAGCCATACAAATGGTGGGTAACATGGGGGTGGAGGTGGGGATGGTATTTGATTTTTCTCTAATTTTTTATGCAAAATGCTCAGGTTGAAGAAGGAAGAGGCCTGTTAATGTTTATATAATCTTTAATTTTTTTTTCTTAAATCAGATTCCCAAGAACAGTAGAACCCTGTACATGCACAGCTATCAAAGTTATATATGGAATCAGATAGTGTCCAGACGGATACGACAGTTTGGAATGAAGCCAATGGCAGGCGACCTGGTCCTGGATAGCAATACTGTAGATGGCGCTGACTGCGATGTGGATGATTTGGATGCTGTAAAAGAGCAATCTCAGAAGTCAGGTAATTGCTGTGCAGTAGCTTTGAAAACTGTTCATTGAAAAAGGTAATTATTGACTTATAATGCTTGAAAAGCAGTTTGCTGAATATTATTATTATTATTTGTCTTGGTTCACTCTGACTTTGTGCTATATATAAGTCAACCATTTGGTGTGTATTTTTTCTGTTATATAAAAGTAACAAACTTTTTTCCTGATGATTCTGCTGCTCCAAGTTAGTTCCAAACTAATATTTCAGTTCCATAAGGTTAAATGATTTATGATATGATAAAAAATTAATGATAATTTATCATAAATTTTACCACTAAAGATTGATGTCAAAAGAAATTATTTTATTTGTTTGACCATGTCAAAGACAAATTAGATATTATAATATATTATTATTAAATTACTACTCTTGACTTTCTGTTTCAGCAGGGGACACTGCCAGTCAACCCAGTGTAATAGTTCTTACAGAGGAGACTGCAGCCAACTATACAATTTATGATGTTGTCATACCGTTACCTGGATATGGTGTTACTTACCCTGAAAATGAAGGTGTGGGTGATTGTAATTTCTCTAAGAAAAGGAGATTGTATCTCTAATACAATAAAGTTAAATATGTAAAGATGTCAGTTTTTGCCAGTCTCACAACAATTGCAGAAGCCAAAAATATTATTTGATTTCAGAAAATTATTTAATATGTTAGAGTGGCTTACAGCATTTGGTTTTGTTACTGAGGAGTATGTGCCAAAATAAAATGAAATGTGGTAATGGAATAGAATAATAAAATTAATCGTATATTTCCAGTGAAACAATGGATTAGTGACCTGCTCAAGAAAGACGGAATTGATGCAGACACCTTCAAACAGAGTTTAAAGTACGTCATTCATTAATTATGTTTTTATCCCTGGAGTTAGATAACATTTTGATATCAAAAGGTGTAGACAAGTTTTGAGTGTTTAGCTTACATGCAAGTTTCTTATTTCTTTAACTGTGATATTTGTAAGATGAATCAATTTTATAATAAATGTAAACAGTTAACTGATGGTTACTTTATTTTCATGTTTCAGATCATTCTCTGTATCAGGTAGTTATAGGAAGATGTTAGTACGCCCAGAGGGGGTCAAATGGAGCATCCATCGCTATGACGACAACACAATTCCCCTGGTGCTCACAGACCGCGATAGACTTAATAATGTGGAGCTACCCACACAATCTGAGGGTTAGTTGTATATGTGATGAGTTTTTATAATCTAAAAATGTGAAATTCATGAATTGATATGATATCTTAATTTCAATTTTTTCATAAACATAGACAAATTATTGATATTTAGAAAATATATGTTAAATTGAGAGGCAAGTTATGCATATTGTTTTGTAATCCAAAACACGTGCTTAAAGTACTGAATTTGCACATTTGCAAAAAGAAAAAAAGTAAACATTTTGTGTTCAGGAAACGTGGCAGAAGTATTATTATTGGAGATGTAAGTTAGTCTTTGGATTAAATTAATTTTGTTTTGTTTACAGAAGGGCAGTTGAAGGCAATCAAAGTGGAGTTTAGTCTTCCTAAGGGTTGCTATGCAACCATGGTTGTCAGGGAGGCCCTGAAGATGGAGACATCCCAGTCCTTTCAGATCAGTCTCAACAGATAACACAGGGTTTTTCTTTATATTTGAGAAAGAATCATTGGAAGAGAACGTTTCAGGCAAGTCAGACAGCTGGGCACATCGTGGATATTCCTCAAGTTTTTTAAGGAGGCATTTGGGAAATATTTTAAGGAGACTTTTGAAAAGACAGAAATGGCTGTCACAGTTGTTATTTCTGGATAGAATGGACAGAGGTCAATCAGCCCAAGTGTTCAGATCTGCGTCTGGCAGGAACCGTAATAGTGACAGCGACAGTGAAGGGTCCCAGTTCTCTCAGATCATGCCGTGTGGTATAATTCCACTGATGTTCTTAAGCCAGCTGGTGGTACACACTCAGAAGGTGGCTACACATCTCTGGTTCTCTTGAGCTGAATTGAAAGCAGTAAATAAACTATCAGTAAGAGCAGTAAACTAAAGACCTGTTTTAATGCCTGACTCATGACAGTAGTGTGTTGAAGTAGCTGGTAGATCAGACACAACCCCTGGTGTCTGGTGAGGACATAGTGAAGTACCTCCAGGACACTTATATCAGTCTCTTAGACAATGATGTCAGTGGTGTCCTGAAGTGGAATCATGGAGAATGTCAGGAGGACAAAACAGATGTTCTGAAATAAAAAATGTGTGGGTGTATTTACAACATAGCCCTGTCAGTTAAAATAGTTTAGTATTCAAGGAAGGGAAAGCTGGAAATTATTATCACAATATATCTAAGATGTCAGCTTCAAGTGTGCTAAGACTGTTTGGATAGAAATTTGATTTTTTGTCTGTAATGCTCACAGAGTGTTACTGGCATTTTAATGGTCTCGAGACTGTATCATGTTCTCTATATACATGTACAGACTGTGGTAAACCTGTTAAAATCTTATTCTTTAACCTAGAAATATCCTTGATTACCAGCTTCTGCAAAGGGCAAAATGACAAAGAAATTAAATTTATTTAGGCTGAACTTGCATGGCAAGATTTTAATCTGTACTGATTTTTTGTCACAAAGTAAGTCGAGAATACCTGGAGCCTGTCTACAACAGGGACTGTCACACCTGGTGTTGCTGACTGAATTCAGGCATATTTGTTTCTATGTCTTCTATTTGTAATATTTGTCAATTCTAATAGGCTCGACCAAAATTATTACTGTTTAAGGTAGTAACTTAAACTTATAAATTTGGAAATAAACTGTTGAAATGGTGTGAGCAGACTTGCGTATGTTTGTAATTAAACTTAGTATTTTTCTGGTGTTGAGAGATTTTTTACTAGATAACTTTAAGCATCAAATAAAAACAGTAAACCATACTCATTGAGTATGATCCAGTCAGATTTTCTTTGTTGACCTACCAGTATCCTGAAAAGCTATACAAGGCCATATTCTATTATCTTTCCCTAGCCAGACCTTAAAAATCGCCAAACCCTGCAAGTAAATGTACGTTCTGAAATGCACAGTTGGTACCAGGGTACGGTGGTCAAAATGATTAACTTGTCATGTACAGCTTAATCATTTTATTAATGATGACGACCCCTTAACTGGTGCAAGAAAGACTTTCTATGAGATGGTAATGTTTATGAGCCCTCATATTAACTGGAAATAGCATAAAATATTAAGTCCTATGCAGGGAAAGGCCACGTAAAGGGTGGAGTGGAGGTAAGGTGAAAAGAAACAGTAGCTGCTGTTCTGCTTCAAACTGAACCTAGATTCTTTGCCATTTCTAAAATTGAGACATTTTAAAGGGTAAAAGGGTCCTTTTCTCAGAAAAGGCTCCCCTTTGAAATGTTGTCAACGTATTTTACGAGTTAAAACCCTCACTTCTCACCGAGAATTATTAACATCGTACAATGGGAGTGAGATGAAAGCGAAACTAAGCGAAGTGCTACAGGTGTCCTCTAGTGGAAAGCGAGAATACTACAACTCTTCCTTGTTTGGAGGAACAAGTTGAATTAGGAACTTCCGGTGTTATGGTAAATAAGGTAAATACGGGCTGTGTTATGCGGATTCAATTTAAAAAAATTTACTTATTTATGCTTCTTATAGAACGCCCTTTGTAAGTGCATGTTTGTTATCATGTTTTAAAGAAAAGTTCAGAAGTATTGCTTAGTATATAAGTTCTTTCTGTTTTGTATATTGATACACACGGTGTCATTTTATTCACTGTTAACTTGTTAAGCCCACGCTTGGCCGTTTTCAACTTGAAGGCTTTTTCGGTTTGTGAACTTAAAAACCACTTTAAATAGCTCGTGTAATACTTCTTCAGACCACCAGTAAACAAATATTAGTGTATTTGTGTTTTTGGAAATTAGTAAAATTAACAAAAAGCAATTAGTTGTAAGAAGAGTACAAATTTTAAACAATAATTTTCAAATTATTTATAGTGTTAATTAACTGATCGTGTGTGATTATTTGAATTTGTTGTTTGTTATTTCTTTCAGGACAGGCTGCACAATGACTTGGAGCATATATGAACACAGAATGTAAAATGTTTGAAAGCCGGAAACATAATTTGGACAGAGATGTTGAATGAATGTATAAATAAACAGATTGAGTCATTGTTTTCCTAGATTCCAAACAAAAATAATGCCCAGTACAGGTCCACACTCTTAACTTTCTGGTAATGAATCTTGAATCCTGTATTGAAATGTAAAAAAATCCTGAATCTGAATCCAGCAGAGAATTTTTATCTGGAATGAAGCACAGCTCCCTGACAGTCGGGATTGGAAGTTATTTGGATAGCATTAGAAAACAACTGATTCATCCACTCTGTACCCCACGGTAGACATTTAGTATTTGATGGGGTTAGGTAATTACATTGTATATACATCTACAGTTGTGTAGGTCAGAATAGCAATCACACAATTTAGAATCAAAGACTGGTGGTGTGGCTGCAGCTATATTATAGCATGGAGCAGTACAACATCTTAGGCAGGATAGGAGAGGGAGCACACGGTATTGTCTTCAAGGCTAAACACACTGAGGTAAGATTTATAATTATTCTGTTATTGTAAAAGCAGAGCTCATACTGTATGTTGTAGTTTGTAAACTATTAACTGTGAAATATTAATTACTTTTTATGTACAGACACAGATGTGTCTGTACATATTGCCATCATCTGCGTCTGTCGTCGCCGTCGTCGCCGTCGTCGCCGTCGTCGCCGTGCACTTTTACCGATAACACGATAAGTGGAAAACCATTTTACCTTTTGACTTGAAACTTGCAGAACTGATGAATATTCATAATACGCAGGTCAAGTTCGAAAATCAGCATGTTCGGGTCACTTTTAGGGAATTTATGCTGTTTTTTCACTTTTTTCAGCATATATGCAGCACCGATAACACGATAAGTGGAAAACCATTTAACCTTTTGCCTTGAAACTTACAGAACTGATGAATATTCATAATATGCAGGTCAAGTTCGAAAATCAGCATGAT